CGAAGATCATTCTCATAAACCACTACGATTACAACAATCGGCACTATATAGTTTCGACAATGGAAAACATCGTTAAATCGCTCTAAAACAGCAATTACATTATTAATATTCGTACAAAGAGACTAGCTTTAATCTTGATATAAGCAGGCGAAGAACTATACCTCCACTCCCCCATACGTCCTCATAGCGTGGTGCTTAATTGAGCGCAGGGACAGAATTTACCTTTTACGTGTAGGTGTACTTTAAACATAGCACATATATTCGCAAGCTTTGAACTCTCAACGTATTTCTTTTAAGCATTGTACAAAGACTATGGATATTTTTGTAATAGTTGTCACGTACGTATGTCCAATGGGCGCCACCGAATTGTGGGCATTCTTTTACACCCTACATTTGTTGGGGAAAAAATCCGAATAAAAAAGAAATAAAATGCCAAATATTAAAAATTAAAATTATAAAATAGTCTCCCACCCTGGACTCTATAAGGCGATCACAAAGGGTACAAACGTAAGTCTGTAAACAAATATTCTTCTGACTCCCCCACCCCTTGCGGGGCGCACGACTGTGATAGCTCCTTGTTCGAAACTCTATCGTCTGCAAGAAAAATATATGACTTAATTAATTTCTTTAACAGGAAGAGGTGGTAACTAGCTGAAACTATGAAAGGAACAGGAGAATGAATGTAGGAAGGCAATTAACTTCCGTTGACTATTATTGGACTTTTCCTCTAGAACAAGAGTATCCAAACTACTGCCCGCGGGCCACACACGGCCCGCAATGTGATTTTATCCGGCCCGCGAAAGAATTGTGCAGAAATGCGCCAATTGAACTCATTTTCCAATGAGTACTGGTAAATGTGATTCCGAGCTTATTGACCTGTCATATTATACTGCAGTTCGATGGCTTAGCTGTGGAAAGGTTCTTTCTCACTTCTTTCAGCTCAGGAATGAAATTGATATATTTCTTACCGAGAAAAACCATCACGAACCACTTTTATCAGATACCAAGTGGCTTTGGAAATTAGCATTTTTTGCTGATCTGGTGAACCATATGAACAATTTGAATTTAAAGTTGCAGGGTGAAAATAACTTAGTCTGTGATTTATTTGAACTTATCAAGGCATTCAGAGCAAAGTTGATACTTCTGGAAAGCCAAGTGAAAAATTGTAACTTTGTTCATATGCTATACTGTGCAGAGTTGCATAAAAAGGGTGAAGCAGAATTTCCTTCCTCGTTTGCAAATTTAGTCATTTCAGATTTGAAAGAACAATTTCGGAAGCGATTTGCTGATTTGGATTCCAGTGCTCAGGAAATTAGATTGTTTCAAAATCCGTTTGACTGTGATGCTGCAGATGTCCCAAGTCAAATTCAAATGGAAATTATTAAACTTCAGGAAAATTATCATATTAAAGACAAATACAAGGAAGGAAATTTGATCGAATTTTATAAATTTCTGAACTCTGAGCAATTTCCCAATTGAAAGAAATTTGCTTATAAATTTATCTCCATTTTTGCGACGACAAACTGTGTGAACAAATTTTTTCCCAGATGAAGTACATCAAGTCAAAATACAGGGCAAATTTATCCGATGAACATTTAAAGTCGCTACTTGTGATTAGCGTTTCAAAATTTGAACCTCAATTTAATCAGATTCTAAGAATGCAAAAAGAGTTCCATCATTCACATTAATTGTTTTATTATAATTTGTGATGAAAATATGAGCATTTGCTGCTACTGTCTGTTGTAATTAATATACGATAATTTATTCTCACGTACTTTGTATTTAGTTTATGAAATTCTGTTCTTTCAATAAAACTCATATACCTAGAGTTATTAATTTCTCATTTTATCCGGCCCGTTGAAAGTGCTGAATTACCTAATGTGGGTCGCATTTCGAAAAGTTTGGAGACCCCTGCTCTAGAACATGAGAATGTAGAGCACATGGGCCCCATAACGGTCAGTGTGTCATAAATCAGCTGCAGTTTTGACACCAGAGATATCTGATTAGCAAAACACAAGGCGCTGAGAGACAAATAAGCTAAATACATGACCTGATGACGCAACAGTGTATGGTTCATATTGTCTCTCAACAGTTACGTTACAGCAGTACCTTGTCTGACAACAGTGGCCACAGTAAACCTTTCGAAAACGCATCAGACGCACAGAATTAAAAATACCTCAACTTCGAAAGCTAAAGTCAAGATCCTTACTTGCTAATATCTGTAAGGTTAAAGGTAAAGTTATCTTCCTCAACTAAGCATCACGCCATGAAGACGTCTAAGGGAGTGGAGTAGAGCTCTACGCATTTTGAACCTCAGCACTAGATGGAGGAAAGTGGTCAGCTTAACGCTCAGGCCACTTTACCTTCGGACCAGCTCAGTCGGTTTAGCGGTGGGCTTGATAGCCGGGGTTCACATCTAAGGCGAGAGACTTTTCTCTTTTTCATAGCGCCTTTACTAAACTTGAGGTTCATCCAGCCCCTAGCCAATGGGTACAGAGGGCTCTTTCCCCCTAGGGTAAAACGGCCGGGACGTGAAACTGATAACACCTCCATCTAGTGCCAAGGTCAAGAATGATGTACCTATACCTCCACTTCCTCTATGTCTTCATGGCGTAGCAATTAATTAATTAATTAAGCAGAGGGAGAACTTTACTATTTACCTACGGTGGCTATTGATTATGAGCATAGGTGGGACTCGGTCTGGACGCTGTGAAGAAGAAGGGTCTATTGCTCCTGCCAGGCCTCACAGTTCAGTTCCTCAGCTGTGCAGACCGGCCCCTAGTCGCTATGTCGACTGTTATTCGGCCCCCTTTCTTGTAAGTGTAAGGGCTCCTTGTATGTGCCCATGAAAAGCGAAGAAGTTTCCCGAAATAAGCATAACTAATGTGAGATTCGAAAATCTTATGTCTGTTAATATGAAGATTACTATATTGCGGGATAAGTGCAATAGCAGTATACAAATTCCTACAGAAGATACGTTGCAAGGACATGGCGTTTCAGGCGACCGTGATTAAGAGATATCGGGAAAAATGATGTGATTAAATGAGAAAGAATCCTAGGAAGGGTTATGAAGTATAGACCTCTTGGTGATACAAGCAGAGGACACCCACAAATGAGAGGGCCAGAAGCATTTTTTTGAAGCCGGAACAGGCCAAAAACCTAAACCGTTTGAATGATGATCATGACGTGGCCTTACCGCTTTCTTATCCTAAAGACTTCTGTCCTGCAGATGAAGGCAGTATGTTTCTCCGAAACGTCTGTAAACACAAGACTACACGGTATCATATTCCAGAGCAAATGAAATAATAATGATATGATACATAATACGAAGAAGAAATTTCGTGTATAATTTTCTCGAAGTCTTTAGGCCAAGAGCCTCATGGTCGAGGTACGAGAAGGGTCTCATACAGAAGACATTCCTTGATAATCTCTCATGGAACTGAGCCCTTCTTCAAAAACTGCCAGTTGTGCAGCTACTCAAGAACTGCCCAGAATTTTATGGAACCCGAAGGTTCATTACCGTGTTCAAAAGCGTCCGCTACTGGTCCCTATCCTGAGCCAGATCAATCCAGTCAGTACCATCCCATCATATATCTCTAAGATCCATTTTAATATTGTCCACCCACCTACGTCTTGGTCTTCCCAGTGGCTCCTTACTTCCGGATTTCCCACCAATATCCTACAAGGATTCCTTCTCTCCCCATTCGTGCTATATGCCCTGCCCACCTCATCCTCCTTGACTTGATAATTCTAATTATACTTGGAGAAGAGTACAAGTTATGAAGCTCCTCATTATGCAGTTTTCTCCAACCTCCTGTCACTTCATCTCTCTTCGGTCCAAATATTCTCCTCAGCACCCTGTTCTCAAACACCCTCAGTCTATGTTCCTCCCTTAACGTCTGATTCTAGGCATTCTTTGATAATATAAAAGTATAATAGTACCAGTAATAGTAATAGTAGCGTAGGTCATTGGATTTTTTTTTCAATTGACCGAATCCTTCCAGTCGCACCATGGCCTTGTGGTCGACTCAGCCTCTAACAGAAATGAGTTCCAAGAAGATATTTGGAATGTTCTTGGGGGTAAAGTGCGGCCGGCGCGTAAGGCTGACATCTATGAGTCGATTGTCTAGAAAATGTGGGAACCTCAACATCTCACAACCCTATGGGCCTCCACGGCCTGTTATAGGATACCTTACTTACTTTTAATAGTAGTAGTAGTAGTAGTAATAATAATAATAATAATAACAACAACAACAACAACAACAGTAACAATAAATTACGTGTTAGATTTGAGGCTTTCACGGCGGTGACTATGAAGAAAGCAGTCTTCTGGGATTTGGCACCGTGTATATGTGGTGTTAACCGACGTTTCGGAGGAACGTATCGCCCCCATCTTCAGGGTNCACGTAATTTCCAGTTGCAATAGCGACTGGTCTTTCTTTGATTTAGCCTCTTTGTTATGACATCAGGCAACTCGTAACGCGCGCACTTCAAACCCCGCAAACGGCGCGGACCTTATCACAGAGCAGTAGCGATCCTTTGTATTGATCTCCGTTTTTCCTACAATGTGCCGTATTGACGTACGCTTGCAGAACTTCTTTGCGTTTCGTTGGTCTGGCACAATTTGGATTCGAGACATTGTAGTCGGAGTAATGAACTCGTGCCAGATTTCGTAAACATACGGCACAAGAAGAACTTTAAGTATTTCCCAGAATTTTGTCCCTACAAAAACACTCGTTCTCAATTTTAAAAATAAATCGATTTCGTATCATTCTAAAAATTAAGATAATAAACTAATATCTGTAACTCCAGTTCGAAACGAATTCAGTTTTATATTTATATCATAACTTCTTTTGGTAAATTTATCAATTCTTACACGATTGGTTGGTATATCTTACACGTATTCTTTACGTAGCAATTTATCGTAACGTATTTCATTGTAGGTTTACATACGAAACCTCACGTAGAAAATGTATTGATCCGAAATATTATCGGCCCACCTGTATGGTAATTGGATGGCTCCTCCGACTGGAAGCATGCTGGCTGCTGGTTGTACGGAAGGTGATATCCGTGAGGTGCATAAGTATTATGATGATGATACAACTGACTATAATGTTGGTGTCCACGGTACTCCATATAGTTGCAACAATCCATCCTGAAATTCGATCTTAATTCACCGTGGCACTCGTTAATATGTAACTTCGTGGATTATTTTGTGGATGAAACATCTGGTCTGTTTTCACAAACATGTGCTGTACAAACTTCGATACCTGTAGCAATATTTTCAAAGGACAGTTCGTGCAATAGTCTATTAGAAAATTGAAGTTAAATTCTGAAATTCACATCCAGAAACTCGATTACGAAACATATAGTTACCCCCTCAAAAAGAGGAAACTTTTGTTTTCCTAATTTTTTAAATCACTGTACACACTTTTATACATGTGGCGTCAACACTCATGTTTTCTTTTTTGTTAACGTTTTATATGTCCTAACATATTTGTTTAATGTTCCATATTATATCGTTTTAAAATAATATTTCGTGAGTTGAGCATTTTCACAACTGGATATATCCAGTATCACTTTAACATTGGCTTCCTCTTGCACCTAGCGAATGTAACAATGGGATTTATGGAACGTTTCAAGGAATGAATCTCTTACTCGTGAACTTGGTATTGGAGCGGGTTAGCGCGTCGAGCGAGAACCGCGATATACCGGCGAGAAGTGCTGGCTGGCTGGATAGGATACCAGGTCACCCAGCGGCGGTGGCGACAGCACACTACCATCCACGGCCAAATCAATACCTTGACGGGGCGGGGGCGAGCGGGGGCCCTGGACTTGCCTACAGCCTAATGTACCCCTACCACAAGGCTACTATTACTATATATTCTGTAATCCATACTATCTACAATGTTAACATGGAAACTTTTACCATAACCATGGCTTTTATAAACTCCTGTATGGTTAGTTGCTGATTTTTGTCTGACTTACTTCACCCTAGGCATAATTGCACTGTCCAGGACTCGCTGTGTGTTGCGGCTAGTCTTAACAATGTTCAACAAATATTATGTAAGTTGATAATATAACTGGAAGCTAGTTATATCTTGTAAAATAATTTCATAGTAAAGGAAAGTAATGAAATTTGGATTACAGAGCTTTGGGGCTTTGTTCGCGGTCTAGTATTCTAAAAGAAACGTACGTTTCGGAAACTGGATCTGCTTCCATTCTCAGGTGAGGCTTTTGTCGCTTACTCAGTTCGGTCAGTTAGAAAGAATTGTCTCAGGTGACTAACATTACCACATCCTAATACACTAATCTGAATATGTCTCCTCACTTCCTAACCTGAAAACAGGAGCAGTTCCAATTTTCGAAACGTTGTGTTCTTTTATAATACAAAACGATGGATAAAGTTCAGAAACTCTATATTGTACCATTTACTGAAACCTTTAGAGTTTACCTAAATAATTAAATTAGGGGCGAAGAGTCTTCGAACGTACACTTTCTCCCCTCGAGATACCTCAGTTGGTGAAAGGACTAGGCTGCGGGTTGGACAACCGACGAACAGAGGTTCGATATTAGGCTATCGCAAGATAAATTATCTTCTCCACAGCTTCCAGAACTGCTCTGGGGCCAACCACCAATCTATCTAATTAGTATCTGAGCTGTTTCCCCAAGGATAAAACTACCGGAGCGTGAAGCTAGCCATATATTTAGTACCGACGTTGAATGAGTCTTCACATCGCGTGCTTAATTCAGCAAACGGTTAATTTAATTGTTTTTGCTTTTATATGCTGATATTTATACATAATTTCGTATACAATTTGTACACTGAGCTGGCTTTGCACACGTGTGTTGTTGTATTATACTTGGTTTTCGTTCATACTGTGAAAAATATTTTTATGTCACATGGTTCATTATTGGTTTGTGAACAAGAAAACCTGACGCAATGAGCTGCAGATGCTGTCTCTGTTTCCAGAAATTTTCTTTATACATGGTGTCCCATATCTTCAGGAGGCAATTTCTCAAGTAACTGTGAAAGAAAAATGTTATATCAATACGGGTAATTTTACCAACGGTATCGAAACTTAGGGTGTTTTAAATGCAGTGCATGAGCTCAACACCCGCAGACGTGTCTCTGTCACATTTTTGCAAAATAATTTGTTGGCCCTCTTAGAGAACAATCCGCTAAGAAAACGTCTGCGCTTGCGCGACTAGCATGACGTAGCAACTCCGCATTTTATTAGGAACGTCACTCTGTATATGAATGAACATTTCCACGGCCGATAGATCGTCCGTGGTAGCACGCTGATTTGGCCACCGCGTTCACCGGATCTGAGTTCCTAAAGTACCGTGTATAGGATCAAAAGGAAAACATGTAGTATGCATGAAAGTTGGACGGGCGTCAGAAGTGAACTACTACAACGATTCTTTTTAATTATATAATTTTTTTGTATAAAAATACTAAATATTCGCGAAACAGAAAGATGGCGAAGTTATATAACAAATATAGTTTTTAAGAAGCACATATGCAAATACATATTTTATTTTAAGTATTCATTATTCTCTTCGAAGCCTCGCTGTTCATTTGGCAAATCTTGCGCCCCGCGGTTGAGAACGTCTGGTCTAGGTAATGAAAGCAGGTGTGACAAGGCCTAAAGTTGCCCGTTTCAACATGGCTGTGTGTAGTTCGGAAATAATTCCGAATGCAATTTTAAAATTATCGATAGATGATCACACAGACTAATTTCATGTCTGTAGGCCATATGTATCGGGGGAAGTGTGAAATTCACAGAAAGTTGCGGTCGGAAACACTTGATGGGAGAGATTAAATGAGACCTATGCAACGATAGGAGGATAATGTGGCTTATAGACCCGTTTCTATTCAAGAACCTCGAAACAAGCAACGAGATAACAGCCGTTGCTATGCAACAGCGCGGTAAACACGCCTCTACAACAACATAGTTACTGTTGTAAACAGTGTTATGCAACCAGTTGCTAGGCAGCTGCAACAGTTGGACTACAACAATGGAAACTGGGTGTTTTCTTTGTGGTCCTTGTCTAGGAATTATGTTGAACACAACTGAGGCGACCCAGTTAATTAATAATTACCGCAAGAGTTCAGTTGGAAGAAAAATCTCTGGTCGTTGTCCTCAAGGGGCTGACGCCAAGACGAACTGATTGGCGTTAAACCGCCAGTCGTAAAGTGACTCTGACTCTGACTCTGACCCAGTTAATTGTCATTTGTCAGCTGAGAGCTGAGTTCTGTACGGGAGGCTGTGAAGATAGAACCTACTGCGTGAAGCTGAAGATCCTCAACTGCTAGGAGCCGTTGCCAGGGAACGGCTGATGAAGATACAACAGGCTGGAGAAGGCTTAGAGGGTGCTGTGGTGATTTGTAAAGTGTTCATATTAGCGATAACGCTGTAATTACTTGTAGTTCCGAGTGGTGTATATAATTGGTCAATAAATCCATTCCCAATCCATACCCCGTCTATAGTCACCCTTAAATCATAAGAATAATATTAAAGTCGATCTTAGAAATTGTGTTTGAAAGGGAGGACTAAAATCAAGTGGCTCATTAGGGCATCTACGAAATTTGGTTCTGTTGTGGAGAAGGTGATGAATTTTCGGACCCCACGAAAATGATTGGTTTCTTGACGAAATGAGCGAATCCGAGCATAAGTTTTCGGGAGGATCTGTGCTCCAGTGAGTGACTTGATTTGTTAGATAAGTCGAAACAGCTTTTGTGCATTATAAACTGCGGAAATAGCGGATTTGAAGTTCTCACGGTCATAACTATCGGGTAGAAGTCCACAGACGTTTCGGAGAAACATACTCCCTGCATCTTCAGAATCGAGATGTAAGTCAAATAATGAACCGTCAATGTGTAGTGGTATGGAGAACAAGGTTTAATTTATTCTTCAATCCTGAAGATGGAGGCATTAAATTCCACCGAAATGTCAGTGGACGTCTACTAGATTATACGGCATTACAATCTAGAAATAGCGCTCTTATAAATATGGCGATGGGACGGAAATATAATATATTTGAACTGTTTTAAGATCGAGGCGAACACAGGTGGATCCAAGTTATATACTTTTTAATTGATTATGTTCACCCTCTCTCTGGATGGTTGGAAATACTTAAAGGGAAGTGGGGACCATAACTACTTCACGAAACTTGTCCTTCCATATAATTTTCTGTAGTAGAAGTTACATATTATTTATTCAGATGAAATTACCAAGACCCTGGACTATGTAGACTTGAATGATAGGATATTTAACGAATACTTCTGTACATTAACTTCCGGTCTGTACTGCAAATCTCTTGACAATCTATCCTTAATTTCAAATAACATTAAAACTACAATCAACTGTTACGTGTTTCGGCCTTACTTGACCATCCTCAGGCAGTGTTCAATTTTTCAGTGTTGTGTTTTTCTACTAATGTTTGTGTGCTTTTCTACTAATGTTTATGTACTGTGTTTTGTTTGAAAGTGTTTATGTGTGTTATTTGTCTGTTGTCTTATTGTAGTACCATTCCCACCGGGTGAAACCCCATTTGCAGTTAAATAATAATTCAATTTAATTCGATTCGTGTTTATATACATGCAAACTTAACAGCACAGTGGCCAATTACAAAGTTAGCACGAGTACACAGAAATACACAAAAATAATTAAAGAGCAAAATACAAACTATGACAGTCTATATAATAATAATAATAATAATAATAATAATAATAACTTTTCGCTTTTCGAAACCGCCATACTGCACTAATTCTTAAGTGAAAAGTGAACAGTTTCCTCAGAATGTCAAAGTACGGCCGAAATGTGTTGCAGTAAATTGTGATTTTAATGTTATTTTAAATTAAGGAGAGATTGTGAACAGAACTGCCTTAAGGACCGAAGCTGATGTGTTAGAATGATACATCAACGCGACAGGATGTTGAAATACAATATTATTCGGGAAATTTTTGGAGAAGGCGATTGTATTAAAATTTCGGACATAATTCAGACATTTGCAAGGAGGGATTGAGTAAAACCGAAAGAGCTGCAGCCAGTTTTTAAGAACGTAAAATGAAATTACGATAATATGTCTCCAAATTTCGAAAATGTAATATTGCCCTTGTTTTGCAATTAGCTTATTACTATGTCTTTAAATAACGAATTGGACGCTGGGATCTCTTCCTTCCAAATTCATCAATCATATGACACTACATTATCCAATACGGGAAGTTTCCTTAATTAAAAAACAAAAAAGTATTGTTCCCCAGAAATGGGATTCCTTCTGTACCCCCCGTTTTCTTCACTTCATCCTGTCTGGTCCAGTTGCTAGGAGACCATTAAGGATTTGTAACGAAAAAACCTATCTACGTATGTACTATAACGATGTTTCGTCACTAGGCAACGTCAGATGAGTAC